GGGGTGGGCACAACTAACTCTTCCCAATGGGGCAGAAGAGACATACGTGTCGTATTTGTGCGTTGAGAGGTTTTGCTCTCTTTGACGTCCCGGGACCGGCAAGCTGACGAGAGAAATGTTGACAGCAGTAGTAGTCCAGGACTATGTTACGAAAGGGACAGAGGCAGGCGTTTTTCGGGGGGGGCGAAGCTTAAGACCCCCTGTTGCAAACCGTTGCCGTTGTTAGGTGCTAGTGCCGTCGCGCTGAGGGTGGCGTATTTTCATGGTCAGCCAGTTAGCCCCGTCGATGCTAAGCATAAATACACGCACACAAGAACAGTACAGGGTTTTATTCTCACCACCGGTGTTTTTTTGGTTTGTTCCCAGTTTAACCACCGCATTAGCTGTCCGGATTTATGGTTCACACGCTCCAGTTTGTTGTCGCTATTTAGATGCTTTTGTTCCTCATCCTTGTGCGTGCGTTGTGGTTTGAAAATCAAAACGCACGGCTTTGTTTGCCTTCTCCAGGTGGCCACGGCGATGGTAAACCTCGGTCGCGTGTTGGAAGAGAAGGGGCAGTATACCGACGCCCTGATCTACCTGAAGAAGGGCTTGACCATACGGGAGAAGATCTTGGAGGAAGGTCACCCGGACACTGTCTCCGCCCTCGCTTGGATAGGGGTAAGCCCACGACAGACTGCCTCTAGCCGTCCAAACCTCTGTGGCGCGCTGCAAATTGTTGTTTTTCGGCTGTTGCTTGCCTTTGCTTCTGCGCGGGATAGCGTTTGGGTTTTTGTCGCGGCTCTCTTTTGTCCGGGGGGGGTAGGAGGAGCTGGCGATTAGGCCTCTCGAGAAAAGCGGCGTTTGGTTTGTGCTGGTTGTGCTCCCTCGCTCTGTCGGGGCACGTTGTGGTGTGATTTGTCCTTAATTGTGTTAACTCGTAGGTACGACGCTCTCTGTTTAATGCTTTCGTGTTACATCTTTTATCTTCTCTCGTCCCGCTCGTTAAACATAGCTCGCAATAATCACTTTTATACGTCTATATGTCTATCTAGCCCTATCTCGGTCCCCTGTACGTCTGTCTTTCTGTCTTGTCTATATGTCTGGCAGTCTCCCCCCCTCCCTCCTTACTCATGTCTTTTTTATTCTTCACGTACTCGTCTTTTGATTGGCCAACTACCAATGTTGCGACCCCCCCCCCCTCCCTGTTCTGTGCCAGGGGTGCTTATCTGCTTTCGTCTGCTTTGACCATGTCTCTCATGCCGCCTGTGCCGCCTGTACTCCACCGCTTACGCTACGGTACGCGCTACAGGACATCTGCCAAAAACAGGACGAGTATGAAGAAGCGTTAGATATCGCCAAGAAGGTGTTGCAAGCACACGAGGCGACGCTTGGTCCGGTAAGAAGGGAGGAAAAAAAACGGGGAAGGGACAGAGAGGGGAGAAAAATGAAGGGAAGAGAGGGGTGGGGGGAGGGCATGCAGCGGGGAGGGCACAAAGCTAGAAATAGTTCGTGTGTGTGGGAGAGAGAGAGAGAGAGAGAGAGAGAGAGAGAGAGAGAGAGAGAGAGAGAGAGAGAGAGAGAGAGAGAGAGAGAGAGAGAGAGAGAGAGAGAGAGGACCAAGTAGACACAAGCCACCTCAGTTTGAGAACTATGTGAGACGGCTGTTTGCGTTCACTCCGACGGGAACGGTTTTTTCACGCAGCAGCAATCAGTGTTGCAAAACCTTCACTATAATAGCGTCCCTAAGCCTTGCAGACAGAGATGGCCGCTGTAGTACCTCCTTCTACGTGCACAAACGGATGCTCCGCATCGAAAAGGTGTTGGTATTTCGGCGGCCCAAGCACGCTTTCAGTTCCACGGCAATCACTAGGCGAGTACCCCGCGGCGTTAGCCATGATGCCCAATCAGGCCATGGCGTGCGTGTCTGGTTTGGTACAGCAAACGCAGGGATGGCGACCGCGTCTGGGTTGTCCTTGTGAAACGTATCCATGGCCCGCGAAAACCCGGCATATTGCCCGTTGTGGGTCAAACAACGACGGCTTCGTTTACATGCGTGCCCCCCCTCCCTATCGCTCCTTGGAAATGCGAGGTTGATAGTCTATCAACTACGGCATGCGTTAAATTTACGTCAGCACCCCCTCCCACTCGCTCCGTTGCACGGATGCAAGGTCTATGGTCTATTAAACATGAGTACCGCCCACCCCCCCATGGTCCCGTTGTTATCAATGGTCTTCACAACTACGGCATGCGATACATGAGAAGCCTCCCTGTCACTCCTTTGTTGTCAGTGGACTAACAACTAAGTAGGGCATGCGTTTAC